CCCAGCCCCTCCTCCCTCGGACCCAGGAGTCCCAGCTCCCAGTCCCTCTTCCCTCGGACCCAGGAGTCCTGACCCTCAGCCCCTCCTCCCTCAGACCCAGGAGTCCTGACCCTCAGTCCCTCTTCCCTCAGACCCAGGAGTCCCAGCTCGCAGCCACCAGGCCCCACTCACCGAGCACCCCCCGAACCACAGCATCTCTGCATGCAGCACCATGAGTCCGATGCCAATTCCCGCCAGCGCCAGTGCCCAGCCAGCCAGAGACTTCTCCTGCTCCAGCAAGTGCTTTCGGCGCCTCAGGGCCCCCAGGCCAAGCACCAGATCCCCGCCCATGGCCCCCGGGGTCTTGGGGCTCAGCCAGCTTCCTGCCCAGGGTCCCCCACCTCGCAGCATGCACAGGGCAGCCACTGTGGCTTGCAGGTCGTCAGCCTGCTCTGCTGGCTCCGGGACTTTTTCTCTGAGGCACAGCAGAGCCCTGTGCCCTCTGGGGAGTGGTGACGGCCAGGCAGGGCGGGGAGGGGCAGGGGCAGGGGTAGGGGGAGGCTCCCCAGCCCCCCCTTTCAAGACTAAGGAGGGGCAGGGGTGTGTCTTGGGGCAGAGCGAAGAAGATACATACATCCACGTGGAGAAAGACACACACGGACACACAATGGGCTTTGTCACACACAACGGTCTGTACCTTGTGACACACACCTCCACTCACCACACCCAGACACTGCAGGACATTTCACGGCCCAAGACGGAGACTAACACACCATGGCACACAACACAACCTACACAGAGTGACTCACAACTCCCAGCAAGCTCTGAAACCCACAGCCACACCCAGACACCACACACATGGTGTGACACACACCACCACTCAGCAAGGCAGGCAGCATCCCGCGGCGCACACAGCCACACAAACACCGTCCACACACAGGCACAAATATTATACTCAAAGTTGTCAAACTTTCTTTTTTTTTTTTTAGATGGAGTCTCACACTGTCACCCAGGCTGGAGTGCAGTGGCTTGATCTCGGCTCACTGCAACCTCCGTCTCCCAGGTTCAAGCAGTACTACTGTCTCAGCCTCCCAAGTAGCTGGGACTACAGGTGCCCACGACCACAACCGGCCAAGTTTTGTATTTTTAGTAGAGACCAGGTTTCACCATATTGGTCAGGCTGGTCTTGAACTCCTGACCTCAGGTGATCCGCCTGCCTAGGCCTCCTAAAGTGCTGGGATTACAGGTGTGAGCCACTGCGCCCAGCCCACAACTTACTCTGACACACATCCAAACAGCACAAATCGGATGATACACATCTGTGGCCACACAAACACAACATACACCAAGTGTTACGCAAACACACAACATATGTTAAAGTAGTGACACCCTGACACCACACACCACGCACCTATGTTACCACTGTGCAGTCTTCAGTTTCACAAACACTACACACCCTTGGAATGAAACCCGATATGTGCAGACACACAACACTTAGAGACATACCTATAGCAGCCCCCAATCGCCCAGCACCAAGGGAAATGCACACACGTTGTGGCGCCTGGCGACTCCAACACAAGTACTCACAGTGATGATTCACAACACACACCGATCCAGCATGCCGGGCACACGATGCGATTCAAATGTACGGTCAGAGGACAAGCTGAGTGGATGCAGAGACCCACAAGGTACAGCGACACCTGGAGAAACCCAACCAGCACTTGCCTGAAGCAAGATGATTCTGACATATTCTGGCCACACAGGACACGACCCAGGACGATGCCCCGGGGAAGGGGGGTGGGGTTGGACTTACAGAGGCCCCAATGCCCAAATGCAACATATGGCTGGGTGCCGTGGCTCATGCCTGTAATCCCAGCAGTTTGAGAGGCTGAGGTGGGAGAACTGCTTGAGCCCAGGCATTTGAGACCAGCCTGGGCAGCATAGCAAGATCCCATCTCTAAAACAAACAAAAACAACAAAAAACCAAATGCAACATACACCATCACCTCTGACCCATAAGCCACACCCAAACGTCACATGCGATACCTCCACGTGACCCAGCACATATATTCCAGCATGCGTGGCCACACAAACAACAGACACGGAGTAATACACCAGCACACAGCGACACAGAACACATAGACACACATTTCCCAACACGCGCAACCTTCTACAACCAACCACATGTCCCATAAAACACCACATGTCACCCACTGATACCACTGACACTGAGCCTGCCACCACCCACACAACGCCAACAGTGGGGGAGGGGCGTATCCTCTGACACAATATAGCACAGTTACACAAGCACGGTACACTTCGGTTGGCTGGTACTCAGGCGGGGTGCTGGGGCTGGGAAGGAAGGGGCCCCCAACAGGGACATGCACCCTGACCTCAGACACAGGGTCACACCCCTGAGTGGTACACAATGGTTTTTGTTGGTTTTTTTTTTTTTTTTTTGAGACAGCGTTTTGCTCTTGTTCCCCAGGCTGGAGTACAGTGGCACAATCTTGGCTCATGGCAACCTCCACCTCCCAGGTTCAAGCGATTCTCCTGGAATTACGGGCATGCGCCACCACACCCGGCTAACTTTGTATTTTTAGTAGAGATGGGGTTTCCCCATATTGGTCAGACTGGTCTCGAACTCCCAACCTCAGGTGATCCACCTGCCTCAGCTTCCCAAAGTGCTGGGATTACAGGTGTGAGCCACCACGACCGGCCCACAATGTTACATACAACCCACCAAAAAAGACACACACTGACCCACATAGCAGCAAATGCAGTGTGGAAGGTGCACCTCGACTCCCCAGAGCGACACATGACCTAGGACATCACCATGTGCCGCAGCACGAGCCACTCATGGGTGTGTACGCCATCCACGCCAGCACAGATCAAAACCCTCCTATGCAGACCCACGGAAGGCACTGACCTGCTGACGCACATTACCTCCCAGCCTCACGCACTGACCTGGTGACACTGCTCTTGGCGTCATGTGCACCTCTCTGCGAGGAACCCAAGGACACAGCCCTCTCCCTCCTTGTGTCCTAGGTCATGTGGGACCCTGGACCCACCAGCCCCAGGGAAGCAAGACGTGAACAGACATGCCTGGCTGCACACTGAGGCAGCCCACATGGACACACTCAGAGATACCAAACCATAGAACGCTACACACGGACACGCCCACTGACAAAAAACACAATCCTCGAGGGGGCCCCGCCCCTCGGCGCACACACACACTATTCCCACTCAGCGAGACTTGGCGGGAGAGGGCTGGAGACACACCCAGGCGCGCCCAGACACCACACAGGCGTCCACTTGGGGAAAGTGTAGCCGCCAGGCACCCTCAAGCCTGCAGCCTGGGCACCCTTGCTCACTGGCCACCCTGGCAGCCTGGCACCTGGCTCTCTCTCTGGTTCCTCTCTCTGGAGCTTGCTTCCTGTCTCAGCCTCTCCTGGTCTGGAAGTCTCTGGGTTTGTCTTTTTTTTTTTTTGGTGAGATTCAGTCTTGCTCTGTCTCACAGGCTGGAGTGCAGTGGCGTGATATTGGCTCACGGCAACCTCCGCCTTCTGGGTTCAAGTGATTCTCCTACCTCAGCCTCCCAAGCAACTGGGACTACAAGCACGCACCACCACACCCGGCTAATTTTTGTGTTTTTAGTAGAGACGGGGTTTTGCCATGTTGGCCAGGCCTGTCTCAAACTCCTGACCTCAGGTGATCTGCCCGCCTTGGCCTTGCAAAGTGCTGGGATTACAGGCGTGAGCCACCGTGTCCGGCTGGGTTTCTCTTTATCTCTGTCTCTGCCTGTCTCCACTCTGTCTCTGTGCCTCTGCCTCTCTTAGCCTCTCTGTGTCTCTCTCATCTCTCTGATCCTTTCTCCATCTTCGTGTCCCCCTCTGCTCCTGTTTCCTTCTCTCTCCGGTCACTGTCTCTCTGCCATTATGTCTCTCTCTGTGTTCATCATTGCCTGTGTCTCTATCTGCCTGTCTCGCTCTGTCTCCATCTCTCTGTCTCTAGGGTCCTCTGTTTTTGTCTGTCTCTTGCTGGATCGATGCTTCTCTCTGTCTCTGTTTCAGTCTCTCCCTGCCTCCAGGCCTCCTTTTGGGTCTCTCTCTCTCTCTGTCCAGGCCTCTCTGTGCTTGTCTCTGCCTCAGTTTCTCTTGGCTGTTCACTGGCAGTTCCTTCCAGTTCTAGCCCAGCCCCACTGAGAGGCTGAAGGCCAGTGGTCCAGAGACTGCGGCCACCCGAAGGTCAGAAACCACTAAATAGAGAATGCTCCAGCTGCGGCCGTGCCATGGCATCTCTGCCCCAGTTCAGGCACTTGTGAAAAATGCAGACAGAGACTGACGCAGAGGGAGAGGGATAATCAGAGAGACCTCAAGTGGTTTAGCCAGGGAAGGTGGGGGGCGTGTATTTTTTAAAAAATCAAAGAGACAGAGACAGAAGAGACGCACAGGTGCAGAGAAATCGGAAACAGAATCAAGACACGGAAGTTAGAGCACAGAGGAACTTTGTCTCCAAACAGACCATGACTGAAAGAGAAAAACAGCAAAGGCTGGGCATGGGCAGGCCTGGGTGGCGGCAATGGGGAGGGCACCTGCCTTCAAGCTGAAGTCCTGGGATGCAGGGGTCAGTCGCAGGAAACCACCTCGCTCGAAGCCAGCTGCCTCCAGCCAGGGAGAGGCTAAGCGGGGAGGGAGAGGTGACTCAGGGCCCCAGGGCTTCTTGTGACTCAGCCTTGGTCTCAGTCCTAGAGTGGGGAGTGGAGGGAGGGAGGGGTTTCTGTAAAAGAGAGGGAAAGGGAATAGCAGAGGACCTCAAAATGCCTAAGAGGAGGGGTACAGGAGGAAAAAGCTGGGGCCTGAACTTCTGGGTCTGAGGGAGGAGGGGCTGGGGCCTGGACTTCTGAGTCTGAGGGAGGAGGGGCTGGGGCCTGGACTGCTGGGTCTGAGGGAGGAGGGGCTGGGGGTTTGAACTCCTGGGTCTGAGGGAGGAGGGGCTGGGGCCTGGGCTCCTGGGTCTGAGGGAGGAG